GCTAGTCTGGATGAGGCTTTGAACAACCTGGCCTAGTGAAAGGTGTCCCTGCCTGTGGCAGGGGAGTTGGAACTCAATGATCTTTAAGGTCCCTTCCAACCCAAACAGTTCCATAATTCCGTGATCAAGTGAAATGTGAAATGGAATTTAAGTTAAATTATTTTTTTTTTAACCTTATCTTTAGTGTTCTTGAAGCTGAAAAGATGTTGGTACTTGCGGAAAAAGGTGGTCAAGATGATGAGGATAACGAGGTAGAACTACTAGTTGCAGGAAAGAAATTTCGTATCCTTGCGACCATGAACCCAGGAGGTGACTTTGGGAAAAAGGAGGTAAATGTCAAAGCAACTGGAAGTACAGCATGCGTCTTTTGGTCTCACTAACTCTTACAAGAGTGGAGGTCCAATGCAAAAATGCATTGCCAATTCTAGCTTCTGGTCCTTCCTAGTAGGCATCTGCCTGATTGCTCTAAAAGAGGATTAAGATGTATCTGTTTTACATTTCTTCTGTGTGCTGTTCATTTTGACAATATAAGTCAGTAATCAGCAGAATGTCAAAGAAAACTTCAGGCCTCTAAATACTCTAGGTAGGCTTGACATGTAGAATACTTCAAGTATAAGAAATGTGGCTCGTGAAGCAAGTGGATCGGGCTCTAATATGAATCTGGAGTAGTGTGAAGTTGCACAATAGACTATTCTCCGTAATACTGTTAGAAGGCGACAGAGGTCATCTTGTCATTCTTAGTGAATATGAATATCACATCCTGAAAGACCTTTCTCATTAAATGAAAAAAATCTGTTTCTGAAGTTTGACTTTAAGTCACTTAAGACAGGTTAAAAAAAACAAAACAAAACCCAACAACAACAAAACTTTTAAGCAGTGTTGGGAGCTAGGAATGAATAAAAAAAAAAAAGGCTATAAGCTCTTTTTCCAAAAAGAAGATGGGTACTCCCTTTAAAGTGCAGAACAACTCATTGCAAAGTCATCTGTTTAAAGGAGATTTATTTCTGCATTGTGTTTGTGTTAATGATTTTTACTTGACTAATTCAGACAGAGGAAGAGAATAATAACAAGAATGAGATATAATTGAAGGTAAATTTCTACGTGGTAGATTGCTTCCATAAGAAAAGGAGATTACATAGCTATTGTTTGATACGTGAGGTCCTAGAATGAAATGGAGCTTTGGTGCTTGCAACCCAGCTCAGTTTTTTCCCGTATTCTTTTGAACTTTCTCGTTTATCACCAATTTCCTGCATTGATGCCACTACTAGAAATCTTAAAATCCACGTTCTCTCAAAGATTTTGTTAAAGTGGCCCTGGCAAAATTAAAAGGAAAGGTCTAACTTGGTCACTTTATTGTTTGCAAGTACTGTGGCTACAAGGCTCTCAACTGCAAGCTTAAGTCGTATAATGTAATGTAACTTGAATTGCTATGTCATTTTGCTTGTCTGCAGCTTTCTCCTGCATTGCGCAACAGATTTACAGAAATATGGTGTCCACAAAGCAATGGCCGTGATGATTTGATACAGATTGTAAAACACAATCTTCATCCAGGATTGTCTCTGGGTGGAATAAGCCATCAAGGTGGGTATTTCTCCATGTGTTGGCATTCAAACATTGTTAAGAAAAAGAATTAGTTTGGAGGCTGCTAAACTTCCCTCAAAATTTACACCACTGTGTCCCTTTTTCTTATAAGTACATCTGTCTGTAAGGACAGTTACGAAATATTTTGGACTTAGTTCTTCCCTCATTGTGTATGCTATGTAGCTAGCCAGAAGTAAGTTTAAGGCTGTACTTGCTTCACTGTCCACATAGCTGAATTATCCCCAGCTCTTCAGTGCCCAATATTGGTTTCAATGTAAGGTGTTGAAGGAACAGGTGCTTAATTTTCTTCCAGTAGCTTCACTGTCAGTATTAATCACTTGATTCTGTCTTGTTACTGTAATTTAAAAGAATCTGTAATGGCAGCATAGGCATGGACTTACTCTTCAGCTATCTTGCCTGTTAGGATATAGAGTACCCATCCATGTTCCTCAGGGATTACAGCTGTACCTACTTTAGTGATGCTTATTATACAACAGTGTAGTAGATGTGACCAATAAAATTATTTGATAACTCCATTGATGGTTTTTTTTCTCTTTTATCAGGAGTAGACATAGCAGAGCTCATGATGGACTTTGTTGAATGGCTGACTAATCAAGAATTTGGCCGCCAGTGTATTCTCAGTGTGCGAGATGTCTTGTCATGGGTTAATTTTATGAATGTCATGGTAGAGGGTGAAGAGTCACATTTTGCCAAGGAACATGGCCTTCACATTTCTCCAATGATGTCTTTTATCCATGCTGCGTGTTTGGTATACATTGATGGAATAGGATCTGGTAAGTCTTTAGTGCTCATTTAGTAGCAGAAAATATGAAGGTATATATTAATATAAATATTTTTGAGTAGAATGCAAACAAAATGCTTTGGGGCAGCGTGGAACTCTTCTGGGAGAAGTTTTCACTTCTATTTAACAGTATCCTGTACTTCATATGCCTTTTTTGTGTTTCAGTAGCAAGAGTTTGAATAATATAACAAGCTTAAGTAAATTAGAGGTAGTAATAGTAATATTACAAAGGCTAGCACACAAATTAAGAAAGCCTGTGTTTTTTATTGAGTCTTCCGAGCTGATCTGGTACTTAATTACATGACCACGTGTTATTCTCTCTGTGCATGCTAGCCTGTATCACGTGCGTAGCTCAGAATGCATCTTTGCACGTTTGTCCACAGGCCCAGCTGATAAATAGGAGATAAGGGAGTGGGGAAAAAGTGAAAAGCCACAAGAAATGCAGGGAAAGAAGGGCTGGGGTACTATGAGAAGGGATCAGGATGACAGTGATGGTACATGAAAGGATTTTGGAAATAGGCTGTCCTTAATTCTGTTGCTCATAGAACAATTTTTGTCCATGGTAAATAGTACTAGAAGCACAGGCAAGCAAAAGCACTAACATGAAATATAAACCTGAAACAGAATACTGCCCAAAAATGGCATCTGTGAAGGAATTGAGGTTCTTAGTCATAAGCTGAATGTGCCTAATTATGTTTGTGAAGCACACTTAACTTTTTTAATTACAGGTACAACATCCTGCTCAGCTGATACAGCTTTATTAGCTCGTGAAAAATGCCTGACATTCTTATGTGAGAAAATGAGTCAATTCCTTGAGCTGACTGATTATCAGAAGGGTGAACTGAAGATTTATGACAGAACAAAAGAAAAAGAGTTTGTGTGGATGGACGACTTTATGGGAATCTACCCCTTTTTTATTCCAATAGGCAAGAGACTTTGTGGGAGTGGGTGGACATTTATTCTGTGCTTTTTATTTCCAATTGTCCTGTTATTCACTAAATCTGAGTAGGATACCTGAACCATTACAGAACAATTTATAGTTTCTTTTCTCAAGCCTTAGAAAAATGCCTTTTCTGCCTCCAAGTGTGTTGACTGCAACTTGATCACATTAAGACGACACATCTGCTAATGGCTTTTTTTGATGACTTTTTAAAATTACTGGTTAATGGCCTAATTTTAGTAGACCTTTTTGGTGTAACAAAGCTGCTTTAATTTTTGAGTTGTAATTTTCTATCATTTTGGTCAGAATGTCTGCTGGCTTCCACTAACCGAAGCTATGGCTCATCCTTGTGTAAAGAATGGGAAGCAGGGGTCCTGGGTACAATCCTAAACAGAATGGAAAGCAATGCCCTGCCTTACTATAGTCTCTCAAAGATTCTCTGTAATTTTTGCAAAATTATTTAGTCTGTGTGTTTCAGTTCCTCATCTGAAAAATTTTAGTGCAAATGGAACTATCAAAACACTGCTTTCTACCCTTAAAATACAGTAACAGGACTAAAAAGTGAAGACTGAGTTTTTTAGTTCAGCTGGTTAGTTTTTAGTCTATGGAACTATGTGTTCCTAATGCTGTATTAATCATTCATCTTTGAACATTTTGATCCTCATGAATTGTGTTAGTCATGCATAGAATTGTACAAGGTAATGCTTTTTTGTAAATGGCGTAGTTTCCCTCTGCTAATTAGATCACAAAAGGAAGGATCTCTTTCATACTAAACAGGTATCAAGATGTGTAAGATAAATTGGTGATTAATATCTTGTATATTTGAGCAATGCTGTATTGCAGAATCTGGGGAGTGATGGCCCAGTGAGCTATAGTGGCTGAAATTTGGCAGACAAGCTCTGTACTTTTTCCTTGCTGCATATCATAATAATGGTAAAAAAGAATGTGCCTAGCAGTGCACTTTAATTAAAACACTCTTCCTTCGCAGAACTGACAGCGTATAGAACAGATTAATATATTATTCTATAACATGACTGAATTGCATCCTTTAGTGCCAAATTTTTTAAAGCTGCTTTTGAGTTTTAGATCCACCTGTCTGAAGTGCAAGGACAGATTTATGATTTTTCAGTGATAGATCTCTAGGTCATGAACCATGAACTGACAAAGTTTAATGGCAAAATACAGCATATATTCACATGCTTTTTGCAAAATTCAGCATAAATATGTGGAGGTGGGCTGAGACACAGTTGTAGGTCAAAGTACATGTGCCTGATCTCTGAGAAAGGAATGCAAGCTTGATGTGCATTGCTTGCTGTAATGAGATCAGCAATTAGCAGACAGAATGATCTTGTTCAGAATCAAGCTGTCAGCAGCTCCAGCATAAACATTCTGGTTTAATTGTTTTCCGGTTTACCTTTCCTTTCTTTCAGGCCCTCATCTCCAGAGGAACAGCATTACAGATTATGCTCTCAATGCTGGGACCACAGCCTTGAATGCACAAAGACTGTTAAGAGCTCTACAGCTTAACAAACCTATTTTGTTGGAGGGATCACCAGGAGTGGGCAAGACCAGTCTAGTTGCTGCCCTGGCAAAAGCCTCAGGAAACTGTCTTGTTCGAATCAACCTGTCTGAGCAAACGGTAGGATAAAATATTATCTTTGTAACTTAGTGTTTATGGCAGGTTTTGTTTAACTTTAAAAATGTAGTTCATTTTAACGTTAGCACTTGAGTCTGAAGTGCCAGTTTTCCTTCTTGGTCTTGAGATAAAACTAAGTGGGAAGGGGGAACCAGAAGGAGCAGTGGGCTTCTGTGAGCGAATGCCAATTCTCACTTTTTTTTCCCTGTTCTTTTCAAGTGAAGACGCGCATCTCTTTGTCTACGGTGTTTTTCTTGGCTTCTGCAAAGTCACTTGAAAGCAGCTTTAAGGCTTTTGAGCATTTCTGTTCCAATTCAATTTTTTGTTGTTAAATGTAGTAGCTGGTCACTGGAGTCCTATCATGGAAAAGCTTTTAGCATCTTGCAGTTACTGAAATATTTTAAATAGTGCTAAAATGTAGATATTAAAAGGGAAGGGAGAAAATGTGAAGTAAAGTTAACAAAGGCTGTTTATTAACTTCTGTGGAGTTTTGTAATTTTTGCTCCTGCTCCCCCATTCTCTACTCCCAAAGGATGTGACAGACTTGTTTGGGACAGACTTGCCTGTTGAAGGTGGGAAAGGAGGAGAATTCGCCTGGCGTGATGGACCACTACTAGCAGCATTAAAGGCTGGACACTGGATCGTATTAGATGAGGTAGATTCAAGTCTGGGGCACAAATAAAGTGGAATGTTCTAGAAGAGCAAAGATGATGATTTGGCATGTAGGATAAATGCCTTTGAGGGTTGATGACTGAAATAAATTTTGCTTACTTTTAGTTGTGTGCTTCTAGTGCCACATTGAAAGTGGTTGCTCTGCTTAAGAGAAAATTAATCTCTCTCTGCTAAGTCCGTCTGCCCATTGGCCCTCCATAGAGGGAGTGTATAGAAACAGCTTTGACTAGACTTTTTTTTGACAGAGAGCAAGGATTGAATCCATGCCTAAATTACTGCAGAAAACCAAGAACAGATTTATTTTCAGGTTTTCAGGAAGAGTGTCCACAGAAGTTTTGGTACACATGCTCTTATATGGACGTGATTTCACTGAAATAGGTGTTTTGCTGGGACTGTGTTGTGTTGAGTACTGATTTAATTGAGATGAAGAGTTATATTTTGCCAGTGTAAGCTACCCTTCTACCACAGGTCTGTTCATGTACCGTGTAGCAAGTGCTTTCAACCATAGACATGCACACAGCTCACTTCTTGGCAATGTACATCCTAGTTATTGCAGAGTGCAAATTCTTAAATCCTTTCGCTGTTTGTATACCTTTTTTTCCTAGTGTGAAGAATACCACTTTAAACAACCATTATATTTAAATAACCCGGACTGCCTTCATTTAAAAAACAAGCCAGGAAGCAAAGCACTCTGAATGTCACCAATGTATGAACATAAGTTCAGAAGAAACATCTTGAACATGCAGATTTTACAATGGAGAAATGTTTTGTTATCATGGTGAAAACACAGTGCATATGTGCACATAATGGAAAGTGTTAAAGTTTTGTTGCTGCAGTGTAATAACAGTCTAGATGGGGTAATAAGATATGACAGTGCTAGAACAGCAAAGAAACTGGATTTTACCTTGTGTGTATCCCAGATTGCTAAACTAGAGACTATGCAGAAGTGTTTTGTGGAACATTAATATCATATCCTTATTTCCTTCTTCAGTTGAATCTGGCTTCTCAGTCTGTATTAGAAGGGCTAAATGCATGCTTTGACCACAGAGCAGAGATTTATGTTCCAGAATTGGGAATCAATTTTCATGTACAGCACAAGAAGACTAAGATTTTTGGATGCCAGAATCCATACAGACAAGGAGGTGGAAGAAAGGGTCTGCCCAAGTCCTTTCTTAACAGATTTACACAGGCAAGCTTGTTTGTTTGGTTTAAACTATGGCATGATCCTGCCTTGTAGTTTTCTGATTTTATGAACACTCACATGCTCTTGATTCTACAGGTGTATGTTGATCAACTGTCAGCAGAAGATATGGAGTTTATTGGGAATACCCTGTTTCCTGCTATTGATAAAAGTATTATGGCTAAAATGGTTGCTTTCAATAACAAGGTAAAGATATATTTTAATTTATTTTGTGTAGAAGTAAGCAGAATGCAGTAAGATTTAAAAATTTAAGTCTAATGTTATATTTCCGAGCATTTTTATTGAGAAATGTGTGGGTAAAAAAAGAGAAATGGCAGTACATGCAGAAGAAGTTAAAGAACATGACTAAAACCCACCTGAATTCTTATACATATATATATATA